TATAGTTTCAGAATAAGAAATTCTTGTGCTTAGTAGCAGGAACTGATGAGTGAGACTTTCGTATACTCAGAAGAAAAACATGAGTTGTAATTTTCTGTTTCTTCAGCCTAAAGAAAATTCTTGAGTCTTGTAGCTGGGATATAAAATTAATCCTGCTTACTTAGGAGGACCTTAATCACACACTTGCAGTTTTCCGCTTGAACTATGGTATCTGTAGTACCCAAAGGAGTCAATTCTCACAGAATGTTTTTCATCTGGCTTTGTCTTCTTGTTAAAATAGATCTCTGATTTTGTCAGTGACCAAGATTAGATTTTAATGTAATTTTTTTGTATTTTTATTCTGTTTCTATATCAAGACCAGGAACACAAATGGATTATTGTGAATCCTGAAGTGTTCCCATTTTTTGCTGCTGGAGTCCAGTTCCATACAATATTAGCAATCAGCTTTTATGCCAAAGCCAAGCCGTGACAGTTGCAATAATGAATATTTGCTGCAGGCCACTGGTATGAAAATAGCACAGTGCTGCAAGCCTGCGTCACCAGAAACAAATCCTCCATTTGGCTGTGACTGAATTTCCAGCTCAATTTTAGATCATTTATTATTGAAATGGTTCTTATAGCACTGTCATAATATAATGTTAAGAAATGCTGATTCAGTCTTCAAGGCATCAATTCAAATGACTTCCTACTCCTTTTTGGTGGGGGTTCTTTTTTTAATCCCTTGTATCTTTAATGCTGTACCCTGTATTTAGGGCACTGAATTGTGTACAGGCAGCAGCACTGTAATATATTCAGAGAGACACATGCTGGTTAGGTTAGAAGTTCTGGTGAGAAGAGGATTTGAACTCCCTCTGTGTAAGCTTACTTGACAGCTTTTAGAATGTTTTTGCCTTAATTCCTGCAGATAATTCTTGAGTTTATATGAGGAGGAGCAGCTTTGTATATGTAAATGTGTCGCGATATTTACATGGTGAACTTGGATGATTTTCTTGTATATCTTTTGATGTCATTAATGCATTTGCATTAGTGGAATATTGTCGTGGTTTAACCCCAGCCAGCAACTAAGTACCACACAGCTGCTCACTCATTCTCCTCCCTGCCCCTGGTGGGATGGGGAGGAGAATCGGAAAAAGATAAAACCTATGGGTTGAGATGAGAACAGTTTAATAATTGAAATAAAATTAATAATAATAATAATTGTAATTGTAATGGAAAGGGAGATAACAAAGAGAGAGAGAGGAATAAAACCCAAGGGACAAAACAAGTGATGCACAATGCAATTGCTCACCACCCACTGAGTGATGTTCAGTCCATCCCCGAGAAGCGATCAGCCCCTTCCGGCCAACTCCCCTCAGTTTCTATACTGGCCATGACGTTCCATGGTATGGGATATCCCTTTGGCTAGTTTGGGTCAGCTGTCCTGGCCGTGTTCCCTCTCAGCTTCTTGTGCACCTCCTTGTTGGCTGAGTATAGGAAACTAAAAAGTCCTTGACTTGGAATAAGTGTTACTTAGCAACAACTAAAACATCAGTGTGTTATCCACATTATTCTCATACTAAATCCAAAAAACACAGCACTGTACCAGCTACCAGGAAGAAAATTAATTCTATGCCCGCCAAAACCAGGGCAAATAGATAGTATATTAATACAGGGCACCTTTTGAAAGTGCAGAGTATATGCACTGAACTTTGATATTTTTTTTAGGTGAAGAATATGCTGATGACATTTATCATTTTTAGTTTAATTCTTATATACAATGCTACTTTCACACATGCATATCAAAATACCCTCAAAGGGACTAACATAATTGGTTGTATTTTCTTTTCACTTTAAAATAATTACATAGTGAAATATTAGATCAACATAGATATAGGAGGTTAGATATTTGAAGTAGAATAAAATCTGCAGTTATTTAAGCTGCTTTTTTTTTTTTTTTTCCCCATTCATTGCCTCAGGTTTTCCTATGGAAAATAAAGAAATTATGATCTATATTTTGCTTAGGGCAAAATATTGACCCTTGCATTACAAAGCTGGTAATGATGCTTGATGTACATATCTAATTTCCTGCAAGATTAGAATGAGCACCAACCTTTCTGTCAATCCTGAGAGAATGTTAATATCTTCTTTTTCTTTTCCTTCCCTCTCCCTGATGCCATCTGTCCTCTGCCTTCCTTTTCACCAGAAAAGTACAGTGGCTAGACTTACTACTGTACACTAGTACCAGGATGGAGAAACTGAAGTTTTAAAAGCAGTGTTATGTACTGCTGGGTTTGGACTTTTGCAGCAACTTTCAACTGAAGGGAAGCTGACATTGACACAGATTCTCTTGGATGGGAAAGGAGTGACTAGTTAAATGTATAATTTTCTGGACAGATCTACAAAGGCTTCATTTATTTATCAGTTTCCCAACAAAAGATCTAATATTTCAAAATAGTATTTTTCTTTTGAAACGTTATTATTGGTCTGTAAAAAGTAATAAATAAAAACTGAATGTTCGGCAAGGTAACACCATTCATTCTGCACCAGTATTTGACATCACCAATACCTTCAGGACATAACCACCTCCAGACTCACACTCAAGAAAAAAAAAAAAACAAAACAAAACAAAACAACTTTGATTAGACCTTGAGTGGGACCTTATTTTTGCTATATGCTTTAATGCCTGTGAATATGTAGAATATTCACATGACAAACTCTGCTTTCTCAGTTTTATGAATAATCATTTTTAAAACCCCTCTGGGAGAATATATAGAAGCATTACAAAATACACAATGTATAGAAATAATAGGGCTTGAAAGGTCCTGTTCCCACTGACTGAAAGGGGAATCATACCTAGGTTGCTCCTGCAGGTATTTGTTCAACCAGTTTCAAGTCCTTCAGCAGGCAATATTTCCAGATCTCTGTAGGCAGGCTATTCTCAGGCTTTACAACCTTTAATATTAGAAAGAATTTCCTGACGTCTAATCTAAGACTCTCTTGATGTAATCCAATAGTCCTTGTCCTATTAGGAGGGATCTGGGAGAAGAGTTTATTCTCGTATTTTTAGCTACCTGCTACAGATATGAAATGTTGTCAGTGTTTACCCATCATCTTCCATATTCACAGTCCGTGTTTTCTAAACCTCTGATTTGTTTTGATTTTCTCCCTCGCAACTCCTCTCTTGTTGGTTTGCATTTGTATTGCTGCTGGATTAACAACAAAGCAAGTAATTGTTAATTTTTACGTTGCAGTCCCCAGGCTGGACGCAGGGCCTCCAGTGCTGATTAGGGGAGAGAAAAATACTTCGTAAATCTTTCACTTTGAACTTCCAATATGGTGGGAACCTGTTTCACAGCACGTTGATATGAGAGATCTGTGTTCGTCTTGTTATCCGCTACTGAAAGCTTTTTCTGAAAAACAAGGAAACAAACAAACAAAGAAAACAACTGAAAATCAAACAAACAAACAAACCCTCCCAAAAAAGCAGTACTGAGGCTGTTGTTTTCCATCCTGTTTTAATAGATCAGATTAATCCTACTGAGTGTGAATTCCTGCAATTGTCTTTACTGAAAAGCATCTAATTTTCTAGACTGTTTCTCCAATGAGTTAAAAGTGGTTTGAATCATGTCTCTCAGTGTGTTTGCGCTTACTCCCAGTTTGCTATTGTCTTCTAAGTTATTAGGCGTGTTCTTCATTAATGAAGTTGTTGAATAGTCTTAGTCTGATACACACATCTGGGGCATCAGTTAGTTATGTCCCTCCTGCATCACAGCACATCCTGAGATCTATAAGCGAAAGAATTGTTATTTTTCCTATTCTAATAGATGGCAATGAATAAAGCATCGCAGGTAGAGCACCACTAACACCGAGGCATGTATGAAACCAAAAGGAACTGTCTATGTTGCAAAGTACCCAATTCCAGGAATATCTCAGTAAAGTAACTAAGATTTCTTACAGGGGAAAATGCTACTCAGGAGACTTAGTATGACAAAATACAACATCACAAAGGCAGAACAGCCCCTGTCCCTTCTCTCCTTCTGTCCCTTACTTGCAGTCTTCTCTGCTGGCTCAGTGCTGGATCTTACTGTCCCCTACCCTAGCAGGGTACTTAACTACTAAAGTACTAAGTACTTAACTACCAAATAATACTACCCTATCCAAATGTCATGTATATATTATTCAAACCAAAATATCATTGTGTATTTTCTCTCTCTCAGGTTTGAAAACTACAGAAAAAGCACGAGTTCTTAGATGCAAGCACTAGGTTTCCAAATAGATTTAGGTATATAACATGCTTACAGTTTTTCCAAACATACCACTGATATGCAGAACGGAAATTTTATTTGTGTTTGTGTAGGTCTCAGATATAGAATGTTGTATATTTAATTACTGTTATTAGTATGTATTGTTATTATGTAATAATGGATAATAATAATGTATGGATAAATATATACTGTGTATTAATAATTACCTTCATTTAATATTAGTTTTGGCTAATGTCAAGTGAAGTATCAATTTAATGTTTCATCTTATCAGATATCAAGAACAGACAATTGTTTTAGTTTTATTAGTACAGAACATTAAAACTTTAGCTTGGCTACTCAACCAGCGTAAGTATTATGCAGTACTATGGCAGTTTATGCATCTGAAGTGCTACATATAAATTTTAACTGCCTATTGTAGTGGTAATTTACACGACCTCTATTAGTCGATTATCTTTCAGTTGTACAGTACAGTCTTAATGACTTGTCTTTTCAGCTTATGAATCCTGTATTTACTGGGTGTTAGCAGAATGCAGGAGACAAGAGTACGCGGCTTTTCTATACATGGAGTACTGTATTTTGTAACCACACAAAATATGAAGGATGAAATCAAATTTAGTTCATTACCATTAATCAAACCATCACCAGCACAATCTGGCTCTCTGTATGGTTACAGTATTAGGATGCAAACAAGCAAATGCCAAAGGTTACAACCTTTTTGTTTGTTTGTTTCTTTCCATCTCTTCTCTTTGCCCACAGACGTTACCACAGGGACACCAGCAATATCAACGACGACAACCGTGGAAATCCGGAAGAGCAGTGTTATGACAACTGAGATCACCTCTAAAGTGGAGAAAATCCCCACGACAGCCACTAGCAGCACCACATGCCCTTCCGTTGAGACTGAGGAAGAAAAAGCAAAAAGACTGCTGTACTGTTCACTATGCAAAGTCGCTGTCAACTCTGCCTCGCAGCTGGAGGCGCACAACAGTGGTGAGATGGAGCAGTGCTTGCTTTCTTCCTTTTTTTTCCTTCTGTCTCAAGAGCTCTGCAATTATCTTCCCCTGAATAGATTAGATCTCTTGCAGCAGGGGACAAAGAGGTGGCAGAAAACTGGCAATTACATGGAATTCATTAACTATTAAAGAATAAAAATGACAGGCAAAGAGGCTTTCATAAAGGGGGAAGAAAGGAATTCTATTGCATGCAAGTTACCCATTTTCTTACATTTTAGCTTTTGCAGTTTCCAAACCTTATAGAGCTAAATGACAGCTCATGCTTCATTACCTTTGGTGTTCAGAGTTTGCATATTTTTGTTTGTGCCAGCTAGCAACCTGAGTATGAATGCCATCAGTTTTGTCTGAAATCTAACAAATTAAGGCTGAAAGAAGGAGTCAGTCAATCAGAGTTCCATGATGAGAGTTAGAATTCTTAGCTCCATATTGTCTGTTAATAACTTGTTAAAATTATGTATATTTTCCCTTTGTTTTCACCAACTGATAACAACTGCTGCATGAGAGTTGAATGGGTAATTGCTTACCTCCATCTTTTTTAATTTTTAAACCTTTTCTTCTTGTTAGAGCTAGGAGCATCAACAGGTTCCAGTAGTAGAGAGCCATCATTCACAGTCACTATTTTAAGCATCTTATTGATTCGCTTTGTGGTGAGCACGGTTAAAAGATCTTGGGATTTAATATGGTGGCAATGAACACCTTTAACAATCCTTCAGAAAAGCTCCTGATTTTGGATGTCAGGGGTTACCTGCCAGCAGGGTAAACAGAATTAAGAGACAGACAGAGAACCTTAGGTTTGAAACATAGAGATAATGATGATATACCTGTAGCAAAATAGTCAATGGTTTTATGATGTAATAAAAAAGAAATAACTTTGGCATGTCTATAGAATCCACTTAAATTAAAAAGGAAATGGTAATCCGTTGGTATTCATGAGAAACAAAGCCTATTCAGTTTTGAATGCTATTTGCTGTATGCCAGATCTTCAACTGGTGAAAATTCAACTTCATAAAGCTGTACCCATTTAACCTATTTAACTTCATGTAAGAGTTAGACTCTAAACATTTTTCCTGATCAAGATGAGAGCCAAAACATTATTCTGAATATTTAAACACAACCCTCCAAGTTTTTGCTGTCTATGCTGATAAACTGTGTGTGCTCACACATATGCATGCTTGTAAGACTGTACATGTGGATGCATATAGCAATTACCAGTGGAACACTTGTTCTGTACACGGTAGTAGTCCATTATCATCACAGACTACCTGCGTGGAAGTCAACAGTGTAAGAAATTGTTCAGTCTGAATAAAGGTAAAGCAACAGGACAATATTATTTTCTATCCAATCTTTATTTTAATAAAAAATGCAAGTGCATTTTTCTCACGTGTATGTTTCTCACACATTTTGATTTCTCTCCGGGCCATTTAGGATCCATACATTGCTGCCAGGACCCTCTGGCCCTTTTTGATTTGGAGACTAATTAGTTAATTACAGATTGAAGTGTGAGCTACCTAATACATACTGGTTATCAATCCATTCAAGAGGACTACAAATCAAAGCCAACTACATCTTTAATAGCTAAATTACTCTTCCTTTGCAACTACAATTCAGGTCTTATTAGCAGCAGGAGTTAATGAGAAAAGTCACACCCATTTAACTTCACATCAGGATACCTGATTGCGCCACTACTTACTGGTGTGGCTGCTTTGTTCTAGTGCATTACCTACAGATATGTAATTTAATAATTAAATATCAGATGTGAAATGCTGTTACATTTGTATGAATCTGATACAGACAAACACAGGCATATTCCAAGGATAGCACGTGGCACCAAGCTGAGGTTCATATGATTTTCTTTTTAAAAGAAAATAAAATAATGAACGCAACCAAATTGCCAAAGTTGTTTCTGTTTCCCATTTCTAATGTCTCCAGGGACTAAGCACAAAACTATGCTGGAAGCTCGGAATGGAAGTGGAACCATAAAAGCCTTTCCCCGGGCAGGCGTAAAAGGCAAAGGACCTGTGAATAAAGGAAACACAGGCCTTCAGAACAAAACATTTCACTGTGAAATATGTGATGTGCACGTAAACTCTGAGACACAACTGAAACAGGTACTCAGCTAGCTTGCAGAGTGTGAATCCTTGGCTGTTCTTTGTTTTCATGGTGATAAAGTACCAACACAATCAGCATGTGTCAGTCTAACAGTTCACATCCAAATGGAGCTTACAGATTTTGCCCTTTGTACTTGTCTTTCATGCTGTATGTTTTGTTTTGGATATGATTTTCCCTTGCACGCAATATATTTTCTCAAAAGCTCTTGATTATATATATGTCTTAAAGAGTTATAGAAGCTGTAAGCTGCAACATGTTACAACTGTCTTTAGACTACTGTAATTGTTATGAGCTAATAAACCCTGCCATTTAGTATACGGCGTGATATTTGCCTTGACAGAGATGTGGAGGTGGGTGCAGCCAGTATTTTCACAAAACACTGAGTAACCTGCTTAGAAATGCAGGCTAGAGAGGATTTGTAATATTTTTTTAATCAGTGTTACTCTGTAACTGAGAAGCATGACCTCTAAATTGCAATTACACTAAGTTATGTTCAGTCATTCTTCAGAAGAACAAAGCCTTTGTTCTGAAAAACACTTAGTTTAATTCCATATGCCTTTTGGAATTAAATACTTGTTAAGGAACTTTACAAGAATGAAGATAAATTCTGCAATGGACAATAGCAATACTTGTCTTCTGCTTTCAGGAGAAAAAAAGTCCAGTTCTTTGTCTTTTTTTGCAAGAATTCTCTTGAGAATGAAAATCAAAGTAAAAATATAGTTCTGAAAAGGGTCCCTTACATCTGATACTGCAATAAAGTCTATGTAGAAGGATTATTGTAAAACCTCATAAATTTTATGAAGAAGATAATGGGTTTTGTGGGGTTTTTTTCCACAGTCACTTATTTTGATATGTAACCATCTTTCAGCTGAAATCTGAAAAGGACGTCTAGACTTCTTAGGGATTTAAACAATTTTGTGACTTCCTCCCCCCCCCCCCCCCCCCCCACACCA